AGGGAAGGTGGGATGGGTAGGGGAAGGGTAATAAGGGAAAAGAAAAAAATGTGTGATAATGAAAAGATGAAAATAAAGTGTTTGTAGATGGGGAGGGGAGGAGGGGGTGAAGGGAGGGCAGGGGTAAGGGGAAAAATGAGAATCAAGACTTGTCATGTAGAGGTACAAGATCCCAACAATGAATGTAACTGTACTGTATCCCAAAAATGTACCAATAAACTCAATTAAAGCTGAAAAAAAATTTTAAAAAAGAGTACAATTACAGTGGGGTGTGTCTTTCAGATAAAGTATATATTAGCTAATGCTCATTCAAGCATGAGGCACAACACTGTTGAGTGTGAGTTCAGTGTTAATGAATCAACAGTACTTATTAAATCAGCTGTCTTTAAACAAAAATACATAAAATATGACTATGAGTTGATGGGTTGATAAAAATTTTGTAAGCAGATGTATCAAAGAATCCTGCCCTATATTTTCCACAGAAATAATGGTTCAATATTCACTAACTCAGCGTTCATAGTGATTTCATAGAACATAACACTATGAATAATAAGAATTTGGGTAACCTCACTGGCATTAGTCACTGGTTATATCTGGTATTTACTTTGTAGTTCACATGATCTGCTCTTGGTTTATTGTCCAGAACAATATTTTAAGCTTCCAATGTAAATCTACAAATATTTTCATGACGACAACTAATAAGAGTAGAATTATCCTGTGGAGTGAATAATATTTCACTTAACTAAGACTTACAGTGTTTCCTAGCATCAAAACTTATCACAAATGCCCAACTCTAGATGGAGCACAGCCAGGACCCTACAAGCAGGCTGGAAGGAAGCTCATGGACTAAATATCCCACCCTCTTTCTCTTGCCTCATTCTCTTGCTAGAGCCCAAAAAACTGGAAGCCTGGTTATGATAAAAATCAGTATTTCCCAAACTATGTCACTCAAAAGAGGGGAGAAAAGAATTTTGTAATGATGCTGCAAAGGATTATATATTTTTTTTAATTTTTCTAGTTGGTAACCTCTAATCAAATTTTCAGTGTTTTTTTTTTTAAATGAACACAGCACAGATAATAATCCATGAAGTTCTAATGTGGCAAGGGGAGCTGCGGAGGGAGGCAAACCTAAGGCATCCAACTGCTCAGGGGAGGCTCAAGTTTGGTCCCTAACGCAGCAGTGGCAGCCTCTCCTGTGAATTTAATGCTGGGACTCCCTAACTACCCAAGCCCAAATGAATCAGATTCTCTGAAGGCAGGGCCAGCAAGCCCTAAGTGAGGCTCTGATGAACCCTTAACTGCTCTTCAGAGCCACCATTGTAGAGCAGGAATCTGCACACTTTACTGTAAGGAGCTAGAGAGTAAATATTTCAAGCTTTGTAAGCTAAGAAGCAAAATCAGGTTACTAAGTTCTTATATGCCAAAAGAAACAAATTCCCACACTTTTAATAAAGTTTAAACACAATAATAAGTACAAATTTTTGTAATACATTACAATGAATAAGAATTGCCTTGTGGAATGAATAACATTTTGCTGAACTAAGTTTTTAGCATCAAAATTTATTGCAAATGGGGCAATCCACTTTCTGGTCCCCCTTCTGTCTCTCTTAGGGAGATGCTTTCTCTCCTTGAATAAATTTTTCCTACTCTTAAAAAAATTTTTATTACAAATACCCTTAATTCTTATGTCACAATAATTTATATATTTCATCTTTAAAAATATCATTTCACAACAATGACTAGTACTGATTTCAGTACACAACTATGGGATTTTAATAGAGATAGAGCATATCAATTTCTTGGAAGGCATTTATGAATTTATATTGGATGTTTCTCGATATTTGCCTTTTAGCATGTCATTACATTTCAGATTAATCATTTCCAATAGAAAGTTAGATGGAGCTCCTCAGTTGCATGTGAAATGTACTTTGAACCCTAGAAATTTCCTTTGCACTTGCATTGACAGATAAATATCCATAAATGGAAATATCCATAATGGAAATTTTACTTCTGGAAATAATACAAAGCAGCTTGACATTACTTGTACTACCAACAATGTTAGTGATTATCAAAGTGAATTTTACAAAATATTATATGTTTTACGTATAGTGCTGCTGTATCTTATAATTCTAATTCAAATCAATTAATCAAAATTATCAAAGGATATCTTTCCATTTTCTGATATCCTCTTCAGTCTTTTTCAGAATACTATAGTACTTCCTTTATTGATTGATTCCTAAGTATTTCTCTTGTTTTTAATACTATTGTGAAAGGTATTGTTTCCCTAATTTCTCTCTCAGTGAGTTTGTTATTTGTGTACAGGAATGCTATTGATTTTTGAGTGTAGACTTTGTATTTAGATATGCTATTGAACTTGGTTATTAAATCTAGAAGTCTTTTGATGGAGTTTTTGAGGTCTTCTCTATAGAGTACCTTGGGTAGAAAGAACCAGCATAGTGAAAATGGCCACATTCCTAAAATTGTTATACAGATTTAGTGCAATCCCAATCAAAATACCAGCAGCATACCTCACAGAACTAGAGAAAACATTCCTAAAATTCATTTGGAACCCAAAGAGACCTAGGATACTGAAAACAATTCTTGGTAAAAAAGACAAGGCATGGGGCATCACAATCCCTGACTTGAAATTATACTACAGGGCTATACTATGATTTAAAACAAACAAACAAACAAACAAAAACAGTATGGTACTGGCAAAAAACAAACAAACAAAAAAACCTGAAAATCAATGGAATAGACTGTAAGATATAGAAATAACCCCAAACACAGGGACCTCATCTTTGAAAAGGGGCCATAAGGGAAAGGAAAAAAAATAGGAGAAAATGAAAAAATGGAAATAAAATGTTTGTAAATGGAGCAGGGAGGAGGGGGTGAAGGGAGGGCAGGGACAAGGAGAAAAAATGAGAATCAAGACCTGTCGTGTAAAGGTACAAGATCCCAATAATTAAAGTAACTGTACTGTATACCTAAAATGTACAAATAAACTCAATGAGGAAAAAAAAAAAAAAAGAAAAGGAGCCAAACATGTTCACTGGAAAAAAAGTCTGCTTAATAAGTGGTGCTGGAAAAACTGGCTTTCTACATGTTGAAGACAAAAACTATACCCATGTCTCTCACCCAACTAGACCCATGTCTCATGCACTGAACTAAAATCAAAATGGATCACAAATCTAAGTACCAAAACAGAAACATTATATCTGCTGGAAGAGAGAACAGGTAGAATTCTTGAGGACTTACGT